CCCCAAAACCCCAAAACCCCAAAACCCCAACTTTATAACCCAATATTGTTATTCTTATTTAAGCCCAAGAGGATGAAATGGAGGTATTAGACCTCATAATACTGAATCCATTCTGTCTTGGGTCTCACTCTGGGAGACTCCGGGGGCATCGAAAGGGAAGTTTATTTATGAAGCTTCCAAATCCTTTTAGTGAGAGTAGTCAAGAAGAGGAGGTTGAGGGCATTCCATGGTTTTAATGGAAGACGTTATTTTGGGGTATATATGCAGCATCTTCTTTGGAGTTGTGGAATTAGGTTATAATTGTCAAAATTTTGATGTAGGGTTTAGTTTAGCAGTTGGGAGAAGGATTATAGAATTATAATGTGTGAAAATCAATAACTTGTCATAAATTTTGGTAATGATATTGATTGGAAGATACCCCAAATTATACTTAGTTTCATCATTAATAGGTTGGATGTAACTTACCTGAGAATATCTGGCCACAATTTAGAGACAAGATGATCCATTTGGATGAACTCAAGTAATCTTTAATGATGAATAAATTTTCAATATACAATACCATAATACTTTTCTATAATCCAGGAAGTCATGATTAAAACAAAATATGAGATTTAACATAAATAATTAGCTTTTCTTTTAATAAAATATGCAACAATGTTGATAAAAATTCCTCTCTAAAAAGAGGTAGATTCCAAGCCAGAATGAAGTTCATAGAAAGTCTGAAGCCTACATTGATATGTAGGTTATTGGTTTTTCTTAACCTTTTCCTTCAATAATCATTCTTAATCGCAATTCTGAAGACTCTTCTAGACACGAATGAGCGTCTGTAATTACATTTGCTAAACTTTAAGCTTATTCAACTCTGAGATATTAGGAAGCTTTGTATTTACAGTAAACTTCTTTTAGATAAACCTTAGGCTCCCCAGTTAATGCCATGTGTGAATGTTTAGATATGAGAGAGCTAAACTTTTGTTCATCTGTATTAGTCTGGTATCTCCAATTTGTGCTAGATTTCGTTCTTCTGAGTATTGAAGTATCTAACTTTTGTAAATGCTATGTGACAGCATGAGAATCCTGAAGTGAGGACTCTCAAAAAAATACTCAAATTCTCTATAGTATCGTTGTAAGTTCATTTATAAACTCTATCCCCAGCATCCATTATTAAGGAATCATAGACGAAAGTGTCGGCTCAGTTTAGTGTTTTGACCTAACCATGGAATCAGCTATTTCAGTTTGACTTGCCTGATTAATGTAAATCTTTCGGAACTGTTACAGGGACTCAATGATGAATAAAAATTCAGCCTTCTTGATCGAATGATTAAGAGCTTCCTATTATGGAACTTTTAAAATTCATAATATAGTTTTGTGATAGTCCTGAGCATCTTTCTTCTTGATATGTCCATTCTACCTGAACTAACTGTAGGCATCTGTTCTGTTGGTTTGCTTTTTGACATATAAGCAAGCATTTATTCCTTATTCCTAAAAGGATCAATTAAACCCGAATTTGTCTTAAAAAGGCCGTCCAAATATTCCATGAGAGACAAATTCAGGGTTGAAAAAGATATAATCGGCTTCATCTTGATATTCCTTTACCAACAATCAATTTATTTTCTCCTTGATTTCACTGAAAGTACCAGCACAAGAAATAATCTCTTTCATCGAATGCATAACTCTCTGATTGCTTAATCCCTTTTGTTATAGACCTACTAAGATGGTTTTGGTAGAGTTTAAGCCAAATGTAGTTCCATTATTAAATAGCCCAAAATAAGACTAAACCTGGATAAAATTGGCTTGGAAACTTCCTGTGGGCATCATGCGAGATTGTTCCGAACAATCTTGGGTTTGGCAAATGTTCATGAGTAGTAAATTTATTAAAGAAAATCTGATTTTTTCTGATATGTATGATAGGGTTAAGGATTTAGGAAATATTGGGGCTCATAATTGAGATTGAAAAAGGAAGAGCGAGTTATTTAGAAGGTTTGTATTGGGATTTTAAGAGGGTTGAGTAAAGTAAAAAGTTGGAAAATGAGTATTGGGATGTCTTTAAGGTGGGATTGGAGTATTTTTGAGCAGTTAGAATTAGATTTTAGATTAGGAATGGGGTTTTGGGGTTTTGGGGTTTTGGGG